GTATCTGGGTTACTACTTGATTCCTTGCTACATTTGCCGTCGCCAGCGTACCTCAGCTCTGGGACCAAGTTTCCCAAGCCGCTCATTTAGTCCTACACCCAGATATGCTCCACGCAGGAGAAAGCTAAGCAAGGTCTTCAAGTCGTCCTCGCGTGGCACGCCACGTCCATCTACAGCCGACGCTAAGTGGCCTAGTCATCAACTAGATTCTGACTCGCTGTAGGCGCCAACACCCGACGTGTCTCTGGAGCTTTCAGGACGTGACCCCCTGTTTCCCTGTAGACCCTTCCCCAGTACCCCGGATTTGGGGTTGCGGGGTGAAGGGCTGGGGTAACAAATGGGTGCAGTAGGGCACGCTGCTTCGGATTTTGCCCCGAGGTCCATGCCAGTGACCTCCGTCTATTGCCGTGGACGTCGAGCGGGAGTGTTGACATGACAGGATGCGAATACGCAGTACGAAGAGTCTCAGAGTACTTATTTAGGCCATCCGAACATGATTCTTCGCAGTCAATGAGACAAAACATACATCAGCCGGGCTTTAGAACTGGCAACTGCATCTTTGGACCGGAAGCACAATCACGATGGGCATCTTGCAGAAGATCGTTCGCAATGAAGCGACAAGAAACGATCCTCCCGAGATATACAATGCCCGGGTCATTCTCATCAGCTTAGTCGTAAGTTACTTCTACTCAACGGCCCAAAGATGGCAAGGCACTTACAGAGATCACCCATAGGCTTGCGGCGGTGCCCTCCTATTTGGTATGGATATGGGCATCATTGGAGGTGTCTTGACTATGGACACATTCAAGAAGTGAGTTTCCGGTGATCACCACAGTCTTGAATTCCTATTTCTGTGCTGATGATGCGCCCCTCTAGGCAATATGGCCTCGAGAATCAACCCAAGACCGTCCTAGCAAACCTTGAGTCCAACATCGTTTCTGTTATCCAAGCCGGGGCTTTCGCGGGTGCCTTATTGTCGACTTGGCTCGCCAACAGGGTCGGTCGACGATTCTCTCTCATTATTGCTTCAATACTTGTTTTTATCGGTGTGGCACTTCAAGCCGCTGCTAGTGGCCATATCGAAGCCATGTACGTGGGAAGGTAAGCAGACGAATCATAATGCAATACAAAAGTCTCGGCGCTGGCGAATTAACTCATCTCATAGACTTGTTGCCGGAATCGCGATCGGAATTGCTTCATCTGTCAACCCGCTTTACGTCTCCGAGAACGCACCGCGGGGTATCAGAGGTCTCCTCACTGGGCTATACCAGCTCAGCATTGTGACTGGACTGACGGTTGGTCCACCCTTGCCTACGATGCGTATGCATCTAGACCTCGATGCTAATGTGAATGTCGATCAGCTTGCATTCTGGATCAATTATGGCTCGCTCCTCCACATCAAAGGCCATACACAATACATCATTCCACTCTCGTAAGCACCACATCTTGACATGGACAAGTACATCCTCTGACAACCCACAGACTCCAAGCATTCCCGGCCGTCATCCTCTTCATCGGCATGCTTCTCGCCAACGAATCTCCCCGTTTCCTTGCCCAGCGATCTCCCGACAAAGCACTGGCGGTTCTCGCAAAGCTCCGAAATCTACCGGCCGATCATCCATACATCCAACAAGAGATGGAGGGCATCTCCCGGCAACTCGAGGAAGAGAGGGCCCTCTCCCTCAACGCCAATCACTTCACGCTCCTGAAGGAGGCCTTCACTGTCAAGTCCTACCGCAGACGCAGCATGCTGTGCATCACACTCATGATGTGGAGCAACCTCACAGGTACCAATGCAATGACATACTACTCAAGTCGAATTTTCGCCAGTGTCGGGTTAACGGGATCTTCGACCGGGCTCTTTGCGACTGGCGTGTATGGTATTGTCAAGATGGTTGCCTGTACCGTCTTCATCGTATTCGTCACGGACTCGCTCGGCCGAAGGAAGAGTCTGCTCTGGACTGGAATCGTTCAGGTAAGCCAGAGCACCAGATACAAATGCCGACATGGAGCAACGTACTAACACAGCACTTTCTAAAGGGAATCGCTCTCTTCTACGTTGGCTTCTACATCCGCTTTGACCCGCCCATCGCCGGCGAGCCCGTTACCGCTCCGGGTTACGTCGCTCTGGTAGCCATCTACATATTCGCTGCCACGTACCAGTTCGGATGGGGCCCTGTCGTATGGACGTACAGCTCCGAGATCCCTCCGGCCCGCCTCCGCGCCGTCATGATGGGCATGGCGACAGCAAGCCAGTGGCTCTTCAACTTTGTTGTCGCTAAGGCCACACCGAGCATGTTTGCCACGCTCGGTGAGGGCGGGTTCGGGACGTACTTTGTTTACGGCACATTCTGCTTCATCATGGTGGTGTTTGCGTGGTTCTTTGTGCCCGAGACTGCCGGTGAGTTTGACGATGACCTTGGTTGAGTTGAATATGTGATACTAATCTTTCACAGGCCTTGCATTGGAGAAGATGGATGAGCTATTTGAAAACGATTCGTTGAAAGACAAGCTCATCTGGAGAAAAAGACCCCAACTGAGCTCCAGAGATAGCACGAGTGAGGAAAGGGCGATGGATAAGAAGGATGCTGAGCATGTTGAAGTTGTTTGAGCCAATGTGTGTTCACGTTCGTAGGGCAGCTAATGCAATGAAAGTTCTTCATCATGACAATGAGATGTATCATCAATATGATTCCTTCACTCGAAGACTGGCTTAAGCTCTTCCACTTCCAACACTTTCTGAATCCCAGCCAACTTCTCCACCTTCTTTTGCAAGCGCTCAAAGTTGGGATATTCGCCCAAGTCGGTCATGTACACTGCCGACCGCCGGAAATAGTACATATACATGTCAACCACCGTCAAGTCGTCACCTACAGCCCATTCACGCCCTTCCAGCCTGGACTCAATTCTTCCAAAGCACTCCAGGATATGCTCCCACCCCTTCTCCGCAACCGCTTTGCGAGCCTCCTCACCGTCAGTGAACCGGTACGGCCTCGCACACGCCGCGAGACTCGCGCCGAGGAACGTCCCGCTCAGCCAGTTCGTCCACTCATTCACCTTTGCGCGGTCGAGGGCACTGGAGCCCAGGAACTTTTCGGTTTGCTCAGGCGGGGCGATGCACGCGATGTAGGTCAGGACGGCCGGGAGCTCTGTGATGACTTCGCCGCTGTCGAGGACGAGGGCCGGGACGTAGCCTGAGGGATTGATTTTGCAGTAGTCCTCGTGCGTGAAGCTGCCGTCTGCGGCCTCGAAGCGCTTTTCGGCGTTGGGTCTCAATTTGACGGTCTTGAAGGGAATGTCGAGGTGGTAGAGGAGTGCGTGGGCTACGAGGGAGCATGAGCCGGGTCTGTAGTAGAGAGTGATTGTAGGGGATGACATGATGAAAGCTCAGTTGTCTGTTGGATTTGTGTGCTATCATTTGTAATTAACGATGTTTCCATGTCAACTGAAGTGCTACACTCACTCGTGCTATAAGGTGTTTTTACTCGTGTACTTGATCAAAGAGGATGGGAGAATTGACGCCCTTGAAGCGACAGTCAGCGCGGGGTTGATGTAAATGGTCAATCTCTCATGCTTACGTAGCTACATTCGCTGACGGGAATCCTTGCTGGGCTTAACATCAGGCTGGGATGTGATTTGGCAATTCTTCAGAGAGTGAGTCTTATCGTCAGGGGAAGCGTCCAAACCGGGCAGGACGGCAACAAAATGCGACAGTCAGATGGCTGCCTAGAAGAAGGGACTTCCGTACTTGTTCGTTGATTGCGACGTGGAACGTTTGGTCTTCCCTCTTCAAAGTGGCGACAATGAACAAATGAAGAGACCATAATCCTAGTCACAAGTTGGGTCGCGCAATGAAGGGAAAAGGCACATTATCGGTGATGGGGATAGCCTCAAAAAGCGCAAGTCAAATCCTGCGAGAGTGCACAATCGCTGTGGGGGCTTATATGAACCTCGGCTCAATCGAACATAGCAACTAAGAATGTCGGGGCTTGGTTAGAAAGACAGTATCGAGTACTTGCACGTTGATAGTAAAAGATCGGGATGAGTGACATATCATGGGTTTGCAAGTATGTTACTGGGGAAGCTCACGATATGCTAACTGGATATTCTGAGAACACCACTCGTTTTCAAGACCAGGTTAGCTCACCGAGAAGGTTACCAGAAGTGTCAATATGCAACATGGATCATTGATATGACGCGGTTATGATGCGATCAAACCATAGAAGCACATGAGTCCAGTAACGATCTTGATTAGAGTATAGGCATTCACAACGGGTTGCAAATGGCGCGTAGAGTCGAGATCAATCGTGGTTGAAGAGTGCAAAGTTCCACCACTTGCGAGAACCTCTCGCAAGATCATGTACTCTCGGCGCGATCATCCGAAAGATCACGTACGGCAACCAGTAAGAGTGCTCCTAAATGGCGCAGTCGGGACCAAAGATGCACGCAATCAGGCTTGAACTACCATGCCCCCGAAGATGAGGAAACGTGGCTGGCCTTTTCGGGACTCTTCGCCCACGATGCGAATATGGAAGTGGTACAGCAACAGCCACTAGAGAGGCGGGATTGGCGCCATGTGCCTGGCCTGATGGCGGGGAGATTCTCCCGCTGTTCGGGCCAAAAGAAGGCCTTATCTGTGGTCGCATGCAGTAGCAGTTGTATCGGGCGTCGAGATCAGACGGAGGACTACGGCCCTGCATCGACTTTCGGGCAGAGTCGGTGGCATTGGGTGCCGTAGAGTGGCAGAAGAGAAGGAAAATGGCTCAGATGTTGTGCGATGCCGTTCAGCCTGATGTGATGGACTGGGCGGTCACTGGTGAAGCTGCTTTAGAGAGCGTCGGATAGTGCAGCCATGAGCACTACGGCGTAATAGAGAGAGTGGCCGAGAGAGACGGGGAACCAACCTCTCGGCGTAGCCTGGTGGAAGCTGGGTCTAGGCCCGACGAGGAGTGAAGATGGGATGAAGATATGGGGAGGACGAGATAGCAGACCCATGGGGTTTATGGATATGCTGGGCAGAGCGCGAAGAGCTTTGAGACCGGTCTGGGCGTCGTCGTCTGCGGGCCGTAACGCACTAGGAAGTGAAGCAAAAGAGTTGCATGTCTAAACCTGTACAGACTTTTATCTCGTTTGCGGCTTCTTGGCTGAATTCTGGACGATGAGATGAGGGGGGGGGGGGGCACTCGTCAGTTGCGTTCCAAAGCTCTGAAGCTCCAGCTGTCTGTGCCATGGCAAAGTTCCAACTCGATACAGAGCATAAAAGGCTGATAAGAGATCCTCCTAAGGTACTGGGTATCACAATTGTGAGCCCGATCCGATGACATGGGGATGGACGTGTTCCTCTTCCACTGTACCATCCGGGAATGGCCTATGCGGGTTCCTGTTTCTGGAGAGGGAACGGAGCGAGGCCGGCGGGCGATAGGTAATGCAGGTGAAGAGGGAATTGGCCGAGGGTGCATGATGGCATCTCCAGGCGCCGTAGTCTGCATTCTGCATTCTGCAGGCTGCAAGAAGTCATGGTTGCCCAGCCGTTGTTGGTCTAGTGGTTCTGTTGGAGTCTACTTCGTCGTTGACTCTCATGCATGGAATGAAGAGAGTTGACCCGTCTCGAAGCACGTTTCTCGTCAAGCCATCCAGTCATTGCTCATCCATGAGCCAAGCCGTGGTCACTGGAAACGCGAGTTGCATATTGGGGAGGATGTTTAAAAAGGCGGTGGAACCCAGCGTGCTTGATGATGGCCCCGGAATGGGCAGAATTGGATCACCATTCTATACACAGCATTCACAGTTCCGAGCGGGTCTATTCCTCTGCAGCTCTGAATTAAACTCAGTAGGTGAGTGGTTGCATCCGGTCACGATCTCACTTGGTCTCTGTGCCGTCCGACGTGGCGTGATAGAGATAGACCAGACTTTGTGGTCTGCCTTTGCCTTTTGAAACGCATCAGTCAGTCCAGTGCAAGTCGGAGTCGCATTGCAGCTAAGCCAGCTTGAGGGAAGCCAGTTGTTTCGTCGCCCAAGGCGTCCTAGCCCGCATTCCGTGCCGCTCACCGTCTTTTCGGAAACCAAAACAGAGCAGAGCAGGCGGTTAGAGTTATCAACCCCGAGGCCGGAACACGCACGGGAAACGTTACGGTTACCGAAGTCTGTACACAAAGTACGCTTCAGCTTTGAGGCAACTTTATTCCAGAGTACAGAGTATTCGTAGAGAGCCTCACTCGAGTCACTATTTTGGCACTGGCCACTGAGTAGCAGAATAGGGGGCAAATAATTACCTCGAATTACGTCAGGTGGGTCATAACTTTCCACAGTTTACAGGTAGCGTAGAGTCCTTTGCATCAAGCAATGTTTGACCCGAATTTACAGCGGCTCTGTCATCGTGTTCTGATGGTGTCTGCGCCATCCGGGATGACCGCGGCGGCAGCTCAACGTGGCTCTCCCAGCAGGACGGGCACTATCAGACGGTGGCGGGGATGGCTTCAGTTGGGGATCAGCCGCGGGTTTAGTACCGCAGTAGGCTGGTAGAGAATAGGATAGTGTCCGGTCTGTCAGTCCAGCGGCCAGTTCCAGTGGGCTCAGCTCAGCTCACGCCACGAGATGATGAGATGCTTAGTTGTAGCCTGGCGTCCTTTTCTCGGCTCACAATGTGTTGTCTGGATGCTGCTAGTGCAAGATCCAATCAACTGGTGAGGGCCGAGAAGTTTGTGGGCTATGGACGGGTGGAAGGATCATTACTCAATCCCGCTATGGTGTTGTTTTGGGTCAATTATTGTATTTTTTTTTGTTTGATTCTTTCCGATCCCCTGAATGCTTTTACGTACTTGGACCGTATCCCATTTCCCACCGAGATTTTTCCATGTTTCCATGTTTCTACACTGTAATTGTTGAAGACTTGTTGGAGGATCCGAACAATTGGGATTTTTGAGAGATGCAATTTGGGTTGCATCACAAAGACATCATAGGGCACACAGACAACGGCAAGCAATGCAAGGTGTCACAAAGCACGGAGCTTAGAGCAGACAGAGACAGCGGCATCGACCAGGGCACATCCCACCATCCAAAGAGCCCATCAACTCGGGTCCATCTCCGATTACCATGGACTTAAGACAAGATAGACAGCACCGGTACTCTAAAGCTGGCCCTGATGAACAGTATGGATCACTCGATAGACCGGAGGCAATGACAGAACAGTTATTGGATCTTTTGCTTCTGATGGCCCCTTTTCAAAAGCATTGAGCCAATCCCGCCATGAACAATTCGTCCCATCCGAACCAGGCGAGTGGCCTGGCAGGGGGAGGGGGACTAAGTCCAGGTAACGGGCGAGTCGCGAGGAGGTATTCTCGGTGTATCCCGCCGCATCGAAGGGGTGTGGAGAGACTTATGACGCAGCCATTTCCACTTGGTCTGTTACATGTTCAAGACCTTGGTCAAGATGGTCGTGGTTGTGTCTGTCTCCACGCCCAATCCCGGAACGATTCTCCCCTCCCCCACCTCCATGATCCATCTCTGATCTCTCTCCTTGGAGTCTCCTGGTATGTTCTGCGCAGTACATACGTACGGACAGGTACCCAGTTATCGAGTTCTGGTCTGGCAATGCTCTGGGCGCAGAGAGGAACAAGCTGGAAGACGCCAGAGCTTGACCACGGTATCCTCCAGAGTCCCAGCATCTGCCAGGATCATGCAGCACCAAAATAGACAGTGGACGCTACGGAGTACTGTCTAATAGTGCAATAGCGGTAGAGGCCGCAGTGACATGTGCTGCCCCTCGCTGTCGGTTCAACACTTTGAGCATCTCGATTTGGGGTACTCACCACTATTTTTCAGCTCCGAGACACGGACAGTCGACTAGGCGACCACTTCAAATGCTCAACTCTTGCTGAATTGTCTCTTTCATTATCAATCTGATCTCATAATCCAGCACCTAGTTGCAGAGAGGAGAAGAGAGAAGAAGAGACCATGGGAAAGAAGAAAGAGGCCCCTGACGCAACGGTACAAGCCTCTACCAAGCAATACGGCGGCATTGGCATCATCCACCAAGGCCAATCATTGAGCTCATGAGAAAGCAGCAGTGGGTTCTGCGGTGCTCAGGCCGTGGTCTGTCAGTCTGCGATCCCTGGCGCCGCTCTTTTGTGTTTTCTGGAGACTTTTTCTTGGAGACTGGCCTGGGCCGGAGAAGACCATCCACCCACCACCCATGCTCACTATGCTGGTAGTGTTGTAGACTTGAGAAGAGAGTGAGAGGATAGGAGCAAAGCGTCCTGCAGCTGTCGTACTCTCTGATACCAAGTATCGGTTGCGTGTGTTTACTGCTGAAAGGTACTTTGAATAATCCCTTCTATCGTATCACAGCACCAACGTTATTATTACCACTACCAAGAATACATCAAGAGAAAATACCACGCGCGAGAGAACACCCACTAAGAGGCATACGCGGCATTCTATTCTGTCCATTGCTTGCATTGCTTGCATTCAACAGACACATTCCATCCAGGCTTGGAATTCACCTCCTTCAACTCCGTACCCCGGCTCAGAACCCCCGCCACCTTGCGTCTCCCCCGTCACTCTGAACTCACCGTTGGATTAGTTTGGTTTGCCATCAGATCAGATCAGATACGGTTGCTTCAAACTTGACTGACAATATCGTCTGGTTGCTTACTGCTTGCTGTGTTGCCCTGGTCTCTGTCTGGTCTTGGTCTGGATGTTCGGCTCGGCTCTGCTTGCTCTCTACACTATCCGTAAAGACTGTAGCTATTGTCTCTGGTCTTGTCTCTGGTGTATTCCTCTCCATTGCTGCATCCCTCCCCCGTATTCCGTCTTGCGTCTCCAGATCCCCCGGTCCAGCCCCAGCTCAGTCAGGTCCAGCCTCCAAGCGGTCAACCGTCGTCTTTTAGTCTGTCTTTGTCCGTCACTTTCTGAGCCTCTAGTCCTTCCGTGCTTGCTCTTTCCATCCATCCATCCTTTTACTTTTCTTCCCTTGGTCACATTCTCATCTTTACATACACCTTTGCCTTCTCCTCCACGACTAGACGCAGCATCACCACCTTCACCTCATCTCAACCCTGGTCATCCGTAGGGTGACATTTCCCACTTGAGGCTCGTCTGAATCTTCTGCCCGTGTCCCCCCTCTCGGCCTCTTTCTCGTCTCCCCCTGTTCCTTGGGACAGCCGCTAAGCCAAACTCTACACGTTCCCCGGCACACCACACTCAGCACCACCACCCACCTCTTTCGAGAGAAGAGCAGCAAAGAACAGAGAAAGGAAGAGTGTAAAGAGACTGAAGAAGAGAGAAAAGACGAGTCATGGAGCAACACTCCCCCGCGCCAGAGTCGTCGACGGGCGTCAACCCCGCCAACCCCGTGCTGCGAAGCATCGCCCTGTCGGACGCCGTGACGCCGGGCATCCACCAGCACACGTACAACTCTGCCGACAGCTCGCGCGCCCAATCGCCCAGCGGGAACAGCTACTTTCCTCCCTCCAACTACACCACCCACGACTCTCACCACCACCACCAGACTTCCTCTCAACAACAACAACAACAGCCTCCCACGAGCGGCAACAACATCACGAGCAATCCCACTTCGTCTCTCGCAAACACAGCTGCCTCAAATACCTCCAAAGTCCCTCCGTCGCCAGGCCCCGGCGACATCCTCAAGCGCATGACCCTCGCCGCCATGGGCCGTCGCGAGTCCCTCTCCCAGATTCGCAGCGCCAACCCAGACCTGCAGCTGAGCGGCAACATCATCTCGGCCACCTTCAACATTCCCCATTCCCTCAAGTACCGCAAAGGTTCCGACTGGGTGAGTTAACGTCTCTATCTCTGCTGTTCAAAAATCCCCTCAATTCGCGATCCTTCACCAGGACAACCCCGCTGACATCATCGCCATCACAGGAATTAAAGGCGCGCCGCGGCCAATCCGCCCTCTTCGACTCCTTTGCCTACCTCTCTTCCGACGAGACCCCCTGGAACCACACCGTCGTCGCCTGGACCGGCGAGATCGATACCCCCCAAGACGTCCTCTCGCCGCCCGGCACCCCGCCCGCTACGACTGTACACTTCTCCTCTCTCAACACCCTCTCCGCGCCCGTCCCGATCGATGGCGATGCTCGCCTGCCCACACCGCCTCCCAGCGAGGGCCTCTGGCTTCCCAAGGAGGACCAGGCCCGCCTCGAGACCCAGCTCGCCCACAGCAAGACCATCAAGACGGTGCCCGTCTGGCTCTGCGACGACGACGAG